ATCGTCAAGCAGTATGGTGATGGCAAACATTGCCAAGCAGTGTTGTGATGCCAACATTGCCAAGCAGTGCTGTGATGCTCACATTTCCAATTAGTATTGTGATGCCAACATTGTCAATCAGTGTTGTGATGCCAACATCGCCAATCAGTGTTTTGATGCTCACATTTCCAATCAGTGTTGTGATGCCCACATTGCCAACCAGTGTTGTGATGCAAACATTGCCAATCAGTATTGTGATGCCAACATTACCAACCAGTGTTGTGATGCCAAAATGGCCAAGCAGTGTTGTGATGCCAACATTGGCAACCAGTGCTGTGATACCCACATTGGCAACCAGTGTTGTGATGCCAACATTTCCAATTAGTGTTATGATGCTCACATTTCCAATTAGTGTTTTCATGCAAACATCGGCAAGCAGTGTTGTGATGCAAACATTGCCAAGCAGTGTTGTGATGCAAACATCGTCAAGCAGTATGGTGATGCCAACATTGCCAAGCAGTGTTGTGGTGCTCACATTTCAAATTAGCATTGTGATGCCAACATTGTCAATCAGTGTTGTGATGCCAACATCGCCAATCAGTGTTTTGATGCTCACATTTCCAATCAGTGTTGTGATGCCAACATTGCCAAGCAGTGTTGCGATGCACACATTTCCAATTAGTTTTGTGATGCAAACATTGCCAATCAGTGTTGTGATGGCAACATTTCCATTCAGTGTTGTGATGCCAAAATGACCAAGCAGTGTTGTGATGCCAACATTGCCAATAGTGTTGTGATGCAAACATTTCCAATAATAGTTGTGATGCCAACATTGCCAATCAGTGTTGTGATGGCAACATCTTCAATCAGTGTTGTGACTCCAACAATGGCAACCAGAGCTGTGATGCTCACATTTCCAACCAGTGTTGCGATGCCCACATTGGCAACCAGTGTTGTGATGCCAACATTGGCAATCAGTTTTCTGATGCCAACATTGCCAATCAATGTTTAGATGCTCACATTTCCAATTAGTGTTGTTATGCCAACATTTCCAATTAACACATTGCCAACCAGTTTTGCAATGCCCGCATTGGCAACTAGTGTTGTGATGCCCACATTGGCAACCAGAGCTGTGATGCTCACATTTCCAACCAGTGTTGCGATGCCCACATTGGCAATCAGTGTTGTGATGCCAACATTGGCAATCGGTGTTCTGATGCCAACATTGCCAAGCAGTGCTGTGATGCTCACATTTCCAATTAGTATTGTGATGCCAACATTGTCAATCAGTGTTGTGATGCCAACATCGCCAATCAGTGTTTTGATGCTCACATTTCCAATCAGTGTTGTGATGCCCACATTGCCAACCAGTGTTGTGATGCCAACATTGCCAAGCAGTGTTGTGATGCTCACATTTCCAATTAGTTTTGTGATGCCAACATTGCCAATCAGTGTTGTGATGGCAACATTTCCATTCAGTATTGTGATGCCAACATTACCAACCAGTGTTGTGATGCCAAAATGGCCAAGCAGTGTTGTGATGCCAACATTGGCAACCAGTGCT